GGAACCTTATATATGATTTAGTAGCCCCATTTTATAAATGAGTTTGACAACACTCATAGCAACTTTCACATGATAGGTGACTCACAAATGCTTCTTGAATGAAGAGATAGAATCATAGATAATGTAGTTGGAGTGAATATTCAAAGATGCCTCCTTCTTTGTAACCTGTGACTCAGAGTCAACCATCTCTGGGCTTATTTGGATTACACTGATAATAGATGATTTATCTAAAATATCAATATCGCTACCCTGAATTTATTTGAGGAAATCTTTGAATATATTTCATTGATAAGTTTCCACAAATGTAAGCATCCCCAGCTCCTACCTAAGCACTGAAGATGACAATGGTATCAGGTATAGGACAGCCTTTGTTTCACTATACAGAAAAAGCAAAAAACACAAAGAAATGTCAAGAAACCATAAGCAAATCCAGAAAACATATAAAATAGACCATAAACAATCAATACAGTTCTCTTCACTCTCTGAATGGTAGAATTTTCCCACTGGATCAATTTCCTTCAGATTCATAGTACTACCTTGTGATCTGTACTCCCCTCAGAAGAAAAATGAACATGTAAAGAACCACTCCCTCCCCTAACATTCCAGAGGACATTCCTCTTTCCTAATAGGCATTGGTTACAGCTTTTGGTATATCTGTAATGTCTAAAGAATACTAGTATTCCTTTCTTGTAAATCTCTACCCCCTAATAGAGGCTTGAGTTTCCTTATCCATCAAATGAAGAGGGTTGGGCTAGATCAACTCTTTGCTCTTTGTCGGCTCTAGCTCTTAGATCTTATGAATGTTAAAAGTCTATGTTCGTGTAGTTTGGAAGTATGCCCTGCAACTATTTTTTTTAAACTGGTTAAATCTTTGCGTAAAACATCTGACTGAGGATTTGTATGTTGTCATTGCAATTTAATAGCTCATATTGATACTGTGCTTTAAAATTTGTAAAGAATTTTATATTTTTATCCAGCCTCGGACACATAACACTTACTAGCTGTGTGACTCTGGGCAAGTCACTTAACCCCATTGCCTCGCCAAAAAAAAAAAAAAAGAATTTTACATTTTTGTTGTTGTTCAGTCATTTTGATATGGTCTAGGGATGCTAGGGACTTAGATATAAAATCCAACTACTGAATACTCAACCCTTAATTTTGTGGTTATTTGTCTATCTTTTTTTTTGTAATATCAATTTGAGATTTCATATATGTAGGTCGAACTCATACAGGTTGTTGTCTGAAGTCAAGTTTCAGGCTATACCAGTTAACTCTTGATTGTCTATGTACGTGTATCGTGGATCTTCCATTTCGTAGATTATCTGAGACAAGTTTCTAACTCCAGGCTGGTTTCTTCTTGCTACTTAGCACATTTGGAGACTTCTTTCCATTGTCAGTTGGCGAGTGGTATGAGGATGTAAATTAATTTTAAAAGGTAAAAAGTTCATATATGTAGTCAAAATGTGACTCTTCATGACCCTACTTGGGGTTTTCTTGGCAAAGATACTGGAATGGTTTGCCATTTCCTTCTCCAGCTCATTTTACAGATGAGGAAACTGGGTTAAGTGACTTGCCCAGGGTCAAATAACTAGTACATGTCAGAGGCCAGATTTGAACTCAAGAAGATGAGTCTTCCTGACTCCAGGCCCTGCACCCTATCCACTGTGCCACCTGGCTGCTCAGAGAGTTTTACATACATTATCTCATTTGATTCTCACAGTAACTCTGTGGGATAGGTGTTATTAGTACTTTTTCTAAAAATGATGAAACTGACACTTAGACAAGTTAACTGCATTTTCTTGCCTAGTCATGGCTAGTAAGTGTCAGAGAGAAGATATAAACTCAAGTCCTCCTTATTCCCAAGTCCCAAGTGGAGCTAAACCTGGAGCATTAGACAGACTGTGAAAGATCCAAGAATGATTTTAGAAATGGTAAAAAGGAAGACCTGAAGGAACTGGGAGAGATGATCCCTGCCTTCATTGTAGGAAGGAACAGTTTGAGGAGCATTATAAGTTTTGTCTCTGTATGAGTGTTTGTACTAGGTCTGCCTTAGTTGTTTTTATAGGATAGCTAGTGTTAGGGAGGCTAGATGCCACTAATAATACTCTGAACTTGTTAAGATTACAGCATCATGTTGGCAAATATTGAACATCCTTATATGCATGACATACTTTTAAGTTTAATCTGCACTAATAATATTTTCTCCATCACTTTTTAAAGTCTAAAAAATCAACAAAAGGATAAATCAAACCCTGATTTATAATATCCAATTTCCAAGGTATAAATGCTCATGATGAAAATTTAACACTGGCTCTTCTGAAGTAATCAGAGCTAACTCTAGCACATCCCTGGTCAAGAACAAAGTCTGGTACTACCACTATGCCTCAAAATAGTTAGAGTCATGTTGTATGTAGGTCAGTTGAAGTTCACGCCTAGAACCTGCAACCTAGAACAGTGGAATCCTAGAGTTGGAAGAGGCTTTAGAGATGATCTAGCATATACCTACCTTTTTTAAAAAATGTGTTTTAATGGATTTGTGTTAGAAGCACTTTTGAAGAGTTTGCATGTTCTCTACAATACATTCCAAGTCATTGAAGTATATTTTAAAATATTTTTATGTATTGTTATATTTCTAGAAGAGTCAAAAGCTTACTACTGTTAGTGTATAGGATTTGTATATGTTGTAAAAATGCATTATCTAGCATTTTAAGTGACTGCTAATTCAAAGAACTGTACTAACAACTATTAAGTTCAGTATCTAGCTCTCATGACCATTACTAGAAATTGCATATTGCCATGGGAACCATGCTCATGTGAAACAAACAATGTCAAATATACTTATATGTGTTAAAGGTGGCATGAATCTTTTGGAGGAAGATTTAAAGATACTCCATGACCATATCCTGTCTAATAATTTGTCATAGAAGAAGAAGAAGCAATGTTCTTAGTGGATATAAGTTGGTCTTTAAGTCAGGACAATCCAGGGTTCAGGTTAGACCTCTGAGGTGCTGGCTGTGTGACCTGAACAAATCATTTAATCTCTCAGGGGTCTAGGCAACATGTTAAGAACCTAAGTTCCAGAGTAGTTGCCAATTAATACCGGTATAAAGATTTTCCTGACCTACATATATGAAATTGCAAATCTCTATTACAAATCTAATTACAAATCTAAATTACAAATCTATATTACAAATAAAAAGATATACAAATAACCACAAAATTAAGGGCTGTGTGTTAAGTGGTTGGATTTTATATGGAAGGAGTCATTTCTTTTTGGTTCATGTACCTCTGAGGTTATCAGTCTATGTAAGCATGTGTATGGGTTATATGAACAGAACCATGAGGTGGTGCTGATGATGATGATGATGATGATGATGATGATGATGATGATAATAGCTAGCACTTACATAGCACCTTAAGGTTAACAAAGTATTTTATAAATATCTCTCTTAATTCTCACAATAAACCTAGGAAGTAGATGATATTATTCATCTTATTTTTACAAATGAAGAAACGGAGGCAGTCAGAGATGAAGTGACTTGCCCACAGTCCCACAACTAGTAATTGTCTGAGGCAAGATTTGAACTCAGAGCTTCCTGGTTACAGACCCATCACTCCATCTATGCATCACCAAGTACCTCAATGAAGTATAAATAACTCTTGATTATGGGCAATGATGTGTAAGGGGGCAGAATGATATGAATAATTCCCAAATAGAAAATCCAAAAGAATCATTAAAGTTGATTTTAAAATAAATTAAATTATCTTTATTCAGAAAATTTGCCTTCATAACTTTTTAAATTAATTTACATCCTTATACCACTCACCAACCGACAATAGAAAAAAGTCTTCAAATATGCTAAGTAGCAAGAAGAAACCAACCTGGGGTTAAAAACTTGTCTCAGATAATCCACAAAGTGGATGATCCATGATACACGTATGTAGACAATCAAGAGTTAATTGCTGCAGCCTGAAACTTGACATCGGACAACAAGCTGTATGAGTTTGATGCTACTAAACAATGATCATAGCACAGTGGATGACAATAACAATAGTGATAGCAAACATTTGTATAGTGCCTACTCTGTGCCAGGCACTGGGCTAAGTGCTTCACAATTATTGTCTCATTTGATTCTCACAACAACCTTGCGAGGTAGTATTAGCCTCATTTTACAGATGAGGAAATTGAGGCAGAGAGAGGTTAAGTGGCTTACTCAGGGTCACACAGCTAATAAGTCTCTGAAGCTGGATATGAACCCAGGTCTTCCTGGTGCCACCTAATTTTGGAACCAGGAGATCATCTGACCCAGCCTCATTTTATAGATGAGGAATCTTAGTCTCATAGAAGTAAAATGACTTGGCAAGCCATACCCCTTGTTAAGGGCAGAACAGCATCAGTGCCCAGGTTTCCTATTTCCTGGCCCAACACTCTTTCCCTTAAACCAATACTTTTGATGAATAAGAAATGTAGGCCTAGCATAGTCATTTGAATGTTTAGTAAGTTTGCTCTAAATCTAAAGTGCTTGAACAATGTAAATAACAAGAGATCTGGAAAAAAAGGATTCCTAGTTTAATATTTACTCAAATAGAATATAGATATAGGTGATATAGATAGAGATTATATACATATACATATATGTATATAAACATATACATGTATATACATAGTCCCAAAAGTTTGTGTGTATGTATATATATACATATATACGCACATTTTACATTTATATTTCTGTGTATATGTAGTATGTATGTATGTGTGTGTAAATAATCACACAGCTATATATGTATGTGTGTATGTACTTATAGTTTTCTAGTACTTCTAGATGGTGTGGATCGATTAAAGATAGAACATTGTCCAAATCTCAATCTCTAGATCGAATATTTCATTTCTCAGCCTGTTTCAAATGTTAATAAAGTTTTCATCCCTAAAAAGCTCCCAATTGACAGAACAAAATTCTCTTCTTGAAAATCATGACATCGACGCCTGTTTCTGTCTGCAGGTAGTGGAGGACATACTAGAGGACGAGGAAGAAGAAGATGACAAAGATGACAAGGTAATTATCTTCCCCAGCGCTCGGGTACCTGGGGATGGGAGAATTTAGACATGACACTGTTGTTACAGACAGTTAAAAAAGGAGTTGAAGTGTTTTAGTCCAGAAAATTGGACAGTGCTGTTTATCATCCTAACAATGCCACTGGATGTTGCTGGAAGGATAGAGGACTATAAATCCTCTTCTTTTTTGTCCAGAGCTGGGTCAAATATTTTTCTGCCAGGAACAAAAATAATTCAGCTTGTCTGGAACTTGATAGCTCTTCTGAAGATAACGGCAGTGACAACTGTTTTTGAAGGACAAAAATTTGTCCTGTCTTGAGTATTACAAATAGGACTATACTTTAGGGAGAGAAAAAAAAAAGAAATAAAAATAGCGGCCCCACATCAGTTGAAGATGGGATCTGTCATCTGTAATTTTCAATGAATTGCTTGGTTAAAAGAATGGCCCATATACGAATGGCACTCTGTATGGCATTTAAATAATCACAACTCTTGCCGGTGTCCACTTGCTTTGGAATAGGTACTATGGCCCTATAGGCCTCGAGACCTGCTCTTTCTTACCTCTACATATTTCTGTTCCTGGGTGGCTGGTCCCTGTATAGGATTTTGGCCACAGTAAATAACAGCTAGTGTCTACATCTCATTGAACCAAGTGATGGGACAACTTGGATTGGTTGTCCCCCCTGGGAGAGGGAAAAACCAGGGGGAGGAAATTAGAATGACCTTGCACCACAGCCTCAATGGTGGGTGTTGGTGGGATGGTTCTGCTGTGGAGAAAAGGGCTGTAGTTCAAGCTTTTGCTTGCCTCAGGGTATTTCCAGACCAAAAAAACTGAAAACAAGAAAGAGAGAAAATGACTGATTTTTTAAAAAAAATTAATTGCTCTGCATAGCAAACCAAATTTGGACCTTCACAGTATTCATCTGACTTCTGTTGTAGTAAAGCAATGAAATTTTTTTGAAGAGAGGAGAAAAACAGTATATCTTAATTTATGCCTTTGACCTTTGTTTCTAGTAGAGATGTACAGTTATATACCAGTGTAAGAATTTGTGTGCTGGCAGCAAGCATTAGAAATGTCAAAAAAATTCGCAGAGATTAGTTAATCCCCTGAATGATTTTTTTTCCCCAGATAGCTAACATCTAATGCTTTAAAGAATATGGAACACACACACACACACACACACACACACACATTCCTACAGTGGTTTTTTCTTTTGCTGGTTCGAACATTTTAAAATTGAGAGAGCTGTTCTGTGAAATCCTTCTGTACATTATGTAGTCATTAGCTACATCATTTTAGTATCATCAAACACTGAACTAACAAAATCTCCTTCTGCAAAAACACATATGTGCTAGTTTTTAATGTTAAATAATGTGAGCATACACTTCTGGCAATAAAAGATATGATTTATTGCGAAGGTCAGCCATGTAGCTGTAGAGAGTTTGTATTTTAACTCAACATGGGAGCTCTGAATCATCATTTCTCTTCTGATAAACACTAAGCTGCCATCCATTTATGGCCATTTTCCCTTGCTTGTAGCAGCTTTATTATTAAAGCTACTGTAAGGGATCCATCCAAGCAGCATGTTGTATTCCCAGAAATTTTAATAACTGTGGGCCCATAGTGTTGTTTTGGTGCTTCTGCTTGAAATCATTCTATTTCTTTGGCATCTCCTTGATTCCCAGGCTCCTAAAAATCTACCTTCCTTTTTTTTGAAGGGGGGGGTGCAACAGGGGTAGGAGAGGGTGGGAATAAAGGGGAAGAGACGGAGAAGGAAGAGCAGGGAATGGGAGAATAAGAAATAAAGGGAAGAACAGAGAAAGGAAGAGAAAGAGGAAAGGGGAGAGGAAGAGAGAGGGGAGAGCTAGAGTTTCTTTTGAACTAGCTCACCGAAATGTAGTTATAAAGCCAAAATCTACCAGGTTAGGAAAAATACAGCAAATCCCTAGAGCTGTGTCCATCCTAATCTGGTGTTCATCCTAATCCTAATCTAGCCTCAGAGTCAACCCCTTGATTTTGATACACTTTCTGATCTACTTACTAAAGTTGTTTGAAAAGGACTTGCTTAAATTACTGTGTAAATTCAACTATATTTTTATAGGAGGCGGAAGAAGAGTGTATTTTCCATATGAAATGAGTGTCATTTGATTTTCATAAATCCCAGCCCTTTTTTCAGTAATATGAAAGGTTTTTTTAAGCTTTTATAGTACAATTTGTAGCATAAAAATCATATCCTGCACAAAAAGGAAAATGACAAAGCTGATCCTTTACAATAGATTTTTAAGTGCTTGCATAATAGGAGATAAAATCTTTTGCATGGACTTTCTAAACTATGGGTTTTTTATTATTAAAAAATGGAAATATGGAAAGGATCCTTCAAGTTCCCATTTACCAGCTTCTGTCTCTTGGCCAGATTATACACCACTAAATGCTGCAAGGTTTAGATGTCAGTGTGTTCCAACAGTGGCAGGGCAATTTCCTACTTTAAAACATTCATTGGTTCTTCAATCTGAAGTTTGCGTGTAAAGTCAGGCATAATGGAATTTTTTTTTTGAGAAAACAAATGTGTCTGTGCTATACCAGCAGGTACTGACCTCCAGTTCTCATTATTCCTGTTTTTTCATATGGTATAATAGTAAGGTCAGGTCAGTGGGTTCTCTTATAGGATAAAAGTAAAAAAGATTAATAAATGTGCCAAAGCCTCACTTTAATTGAACCTGAAGCATATGTTGCAAGTATGTAAAATATGTCCCAGATGTTTCACCATGGCTAGTGTCTTAGCTTTCCTTGATTACCACAAGGCAGCTATTAGTCCTGTAACCTTTGGACTTGGGGGTAAATGGGGTATTACATGGCACAAAACTAGAGCACCTGTTTTCCATTCAGCAAAGACCCCTGGCAGGCTTTGCCTAAGCCCATCCATATGTTTTCACTTAGCAGATTGTTGGGCGATTATGAAAAGTGTCTTTCTTTAGAACCAGCATAGATATTAGTCACTTACTCACAATGAAAGTGCAAGTCACTGGCTACTTGACAAGGTCGGTGTGGTCATAAGTTGAAGTAGTTTCTTTCAATTAGGCTTGGAGCACTTTTTCTTGCTGTCCCTCTATAAATCACACAGTTAAGACTATAAGGGAGTCAAGCAGATTAAAAATCGTAATTAGCTAAAATAATGGCAACGTAATGTCTTTGCAATCAACACTGACTTTGGCACCTCAGAAAGCTTTGGTCAAGGTTGGTGAATCTTAGCCTTCTTTGGTCTTGGTCCAGACCCTCAGATCTTCTCCCAGATTCTCAGATCTTCTCCCAGACTGTCCTATTTTGACATTTCTCTTTAAACCTGCTTTTCATTAAAGCTGCTGATCACTATTCAGGTGAGGAGCTACATCCTCAGGCTTGTCATGACATGCATCTTTTGTTGCTTTTTTCTATTTACTCAAATCTGACATCTGGTCTCTTCTTCTCTGTGGATCCGGTTCTGAGGTCTCCATAAAGGCAAAAGTCAGGGCTTAGAATGGCAGGTCTCGGGTTTACTGTTGTTAAGCCATTAGGATTGATCATTCATAATGAACCATGGAGTTGTTAATATTTTCACTTATCAGTGTTACGCAGTACTACTACATTAAACTCTGTCATAGATGACATTTGTCATGTATTAAATGTTACAAAGAGATAAGGCTGTGTTCTCAATACCGCATGTTCTAGACCATTCTCTGAATGTACACTGTCCTCCTCCAATCACAGATTCACAGTTTGATCTGATTTTTGACCTGGTTCCTAACCCTGCCTCTGTGGTTAATGAAATATCTTAGCAAATAAGGCTTAGCTAAATTACCTAGAGCAAAGTTAGCAACAAACCATAAAATGACCTTTTTCACAGTGTTATATAATAACACAGTGGTCAATCTATATAATCTATACATCTAATTAATGAAGATCAATTTTCTTTTTGTAGCTTTAAAGGTTTAGGCACGCTTTCCGTAGAGCTTCTTACTTGGCCTGTAATAAGATCCAGCTGTGATTTCAGGAAACCAAAGATAGAATGCAGGCTTTCCTTAGGAAAAAAAAAAGCATCCATTCAAAGACATGGTATTTTAACCATATTTGTTGAGAAATATTAAAGTGCTCTGGTTTTTATGCTCACGATGCCTCTACTTTTTCTTTGGCCATTATGTCAAGGTTGCTATGCTTCAAGATAAGTAGATGTTGTCATGGAATGTATCTGAGTTGCCTAAAAGAACTGTGTGTATATATAGTAAATATATACAGGTCTTTCTTACACTTTAATTCTCAAAGTCTGTGTTTACTGATTAAGTTCTCAATCTCCAAACATGTTCATAATGGTGTATCTAACATGCCCTAGATGCATACGTCTGTGCATCTCAAGTAGACCATGAGTGCATGGAAAGAGATAATTAAAATATGTGATAGGAAAGATTTTAATCTAACAAAGTAGGATTTTCCAGTTATGTTAAATAAAATGGTCCATTGTAGTAAAAGAGATGAAGGAATAGAGGAGTTATGGAAAGGATAAGGAAAGGAAATTCTTTAAGATAAAATTTTTAAAAATCTAAGGTACATCTAAAAGGATTTGGATCTCAGGCCAGTTCACGTGCTCCATCAAAGATGGAACGGCATGAATATTCTCTGTTTAGATCTGTCGATCATTCAATCAATAAGCATTTATCAATTGTTTACCATGTGCCAGGCACTGTGCTCAGCATTGGGGATACAAAAAGAAGCAAGAAAATGATCTCTTCCTTCAAGGAGCTTACAATGTATAATGGTGGAAACAACATGTAAACAGAACTATACACAGGATAAATGGGAAATAATTAACAGAGGGAAGGCACTAGAATTAAGAGGGGTAGAGGAAGGCTTGCTGTGGAAGGTGGGATATTAGTTGGAACTTAAAAGGAGCCAGGAACTATGGCACTATTATCCCCAGGGTCCCTTCTACCTCTAAATCTATGATCCTGTGATGCACTATGGAAAAAAAA